TGAAAATTACAAGTTTGGTTTAATAAACTGATATTATATGGTCACCGATTGGATAACTTCTATGTATTCTAGATGGGACATCATTTTGTCACTGAGTGAGTTTTTAATCAAGGAAGTGGAATTAGAAGCGCATTTAATCTACAGTATTGAAACACACAAAATTCCATGAATGAATTAAAATTTGGTTCAATAACAAATAGTAAAACAATCGACAACAAACAAACATTCACATTCAACTAAAAACAGATGATAAATAATAAAGGTTACTCAATGGAAAACTAGTTACAAAACAATTTCTTATAACTGTCTAATAATTCAAAAATACTGAAACACACCAAATAATATTATAAACCAAATGAATCAGACAATGTGACCATTTTTGACAAAAGTGACAACATTTTTTGCAGCCCAAACAGAAAATAATTCGCTGTTGGTGACGGGCAAAGGTTAGCAGAAGCCCAGATATCACTTGACCAGTATTTTCCCTTGTGTATGATTATGAAGCATATACACTTTAAAATAAGGACCCCTAACCCTAATTGTACAGTACAATCCCAAATATCGCGTATGTAGTTAAAATCCTAAGGTGAGACAACTGCGGTCACAATTCTACACCAATGCATATATAAAACATTATGGTTGATCCAATGCTCAAGAGCAACCTGGCGTTTTGTTTCGATGTATCAGACTATAAAATTAAAACCCCTTTATCGTTCATACTTCTCACGCATTCAAATTGTAATACCATTGTTGCTTAGTTTAGATTTAAATACTGCACAAACTAATCCTAAAATCACAGTACTGAAAGTGGGAGAAAGAATAAGTTACGTAATAGATTATAATATAACTTTCCAGCAACAGACGCCGCTGACATTGTGACCGAGAGTCTTTTGCACCACTGCACGTACAAACATGGTTCGTAATCACAAATAAATACACAAATCAAATGCAACCGTTTGCTTATGGCAATTCAAATACATATAGTCTGCATTGATATTATCAATGAATGGTAATACTCACGAATAGTCCCCCGAATTGTGGAAACTTTCGCTACGCTACCCATCCTGGATTGTGAAAACAATATGGACGTGACCCACCGACAAGTTGACCCGGGAGGTCAATATGTCACGTGATCTCCAACGCGTTTTTCTGTTATTACATCTGAACAGAATAGTTGTTGTTATACACATGAAGATACTAAAATCTCATTATTTATTGATTTGTATTTTTTTAAACAAAACATTATGCAATACCGCCACGATATACCGGGGGTAGTTGCTGGAAATGGTAACAGCGACCTTTGAACTTAGATTGATACATAAGACGCTTGGTGGCGCGCTACAA